CAGAGGTGGACATTGAAGGTCCTGAGGGGAAACTGAAGGGCCCCAAGTTCAAGCTGCCCGAGATGCACATCAAGGCGCCCAAGGTCTCCATGCCTGACCTCGATCTGAACCTGAAAGGTCCCAAAATCAAAGGAGACGTAGACATGGCCGTGCCGGGAGTCGAGTGTGAGCTCAAAGGTCCTGAGGTCAATGTTGGAGTTCCTGCCTTAGAGCTCGGAGCCCCCGATGTCAACGTTGACAGCCCGGAGTGTAAATTCAAGCTGCCCAAATTCAAAATGCCCAAGTTCTCCATGCCTGGCTTTAAAGGGGAGGGTGTGGACGTGGACGTGAACCTCCCCAAGGGAGACCTCGACCTTTCAGGCCCCAGCCTAGAAGCTCCTGATCTTAACGTGGATGGCAACGTCAAAGGTCCCAAATTCACGATGCCTGAGATGAACATCAAGGCTCCCAAGGTCGACTTTAACATCAAGGGGCCTCAGCTGAAAGGAGACGTAGGTCTTTCCTCACCTGGCCTTGAAGGTGACTTCAAAGCCCCCCACATTGACGTGAAAGCCCCCAAGCTGGACGTTGAGGGTCCCGATGTGACCATTGAAGGCCCTGAAGGGAAACTCAAAGGCCCCAAGTTCAAGATGCCCGAGATGCACATCAAGGCGCCCAAGTTCTCCATGCCCGACGTTGACTTCAACCTGAAGGGCCCCAAGCTGAAGGGAGACATCGAGGTCTCCGCACCCAAGCTGGAAGGGGATCTCCAGTGTCCCGACGTTGACATCAAAGGCCCCAAGTTGGACATTCAAGCGCCTGATGTGACCATCGAAGGGCCCGAAGGAAAAGTGAAAGGCCCTAAGTTCAAAATGCCAGAAATGCATGTGAAGACCCCCCAGATCTCCATGCCGGACATCGATTTGAACCTGAAGGGCCTGAAGATGAAAGGAGACGCCGACCTTCACGGCCCGAAGCTTGAGGGAGGTCTGAAGGGTCCTGAAGTCGACGTCAAGGGCCCCAAAGTCACCATTGAGGGCCCAGAGGTTGACGTCGATGGTCTGGAAGGAAAAATCAAGATGCCTAAAATGAAGCTGCCCAAGTTGGGCTTCAAAGGAGAAGGTCCCGACGTTGACGTGAAGCTGCCAAAGGCCGAGGTTGATCTTGAGGGCCCCAAGGTTGACATTGGCGTCCCAGAGGTGAGCGTCGAAGGTCCTGAGGGCAAACTGAAAGGTCCTAAAATGAAGATGCCCGAAATGCACGTGACTGTTCCCAAGATTTCAATGCCCGAGATCGACTTGAGCCTGAAAGGCCACAAAACGAAGGGTGGCTTCGACCTTTCGACACCAAAGATCGAAGGCAACCTCAAAGGTCCTGAAGTCGAGCTCAAGGGCCCCGAATTCGGAGTCAAAAGCCCCGAAGTCGACGTCGAATGTCCTGACCTCAACGTCGAAGGCCCGGAGGCAAACGTCAAATTCCCCAAGTTCAAGAAATCAAAGTTTGGGTTTGGGATGAAAAGCCCGAAAGCCGAAATCAAGGCACCGGCAGCGGAAGTGGATTTACCAGAGGTGGAGCTCAACGTGGAGTCGCCCGACATCAGCGTTGGCGGAAAGGGGAAGAAGAGCAAGTTCAAGATGCCCAAAATTCACATGAGCGGCCCCAAGGTCAAAGGGAAAAAAGGCGGCTTCGACGTCAACGTGGCCGGTGGAGACCTCGACGCGAATCTGAGATCTCCCGACCTGGACGTCAACGTCACCGGCCCAGATGTGACGCTAAAAGGTGGCGACGCGGCAGTCAAGTCCCCCAAAGGGAAGAAACCCATGTTTGGGAAAATCTCCTTCCCTGACGTCGAGTTTGACCTGAAATCGCACAGATTCCGGGCAGAGGCCTCCGTCCCCAAAATCGAAGGGGATCTCAAAGCGCCCGACCTCGATGTCAAAGGCCCGAATCTCAACGTCGACCTCGACGCTTCCGTGAACAAACCGAAGCTCCAACTTCCCGGCGGGCAGGTGCAAATCGAGGGTGACCTGAAAGGACTCGACGTCAACGTCCCCTCGCTCTCGGGGCCGGAGGTCGGCTTCGACGTGAAAGGACCAAAAGTAAAAGGTGGAGTCGGCGTTCCTGGAGTAGAACTGGAAGGTCCCGAAATAAAGCTCAAAGGGCCCCAAATCTCTGGCCTGGCTTTTGATGGAAACCTCCAAGGACCAAAACTGGATGTTTCGAGCTCCGTGGAAGGGCCCAACGTCACCGTGGACGTGCCAGGTGTCGACATCGGAAGTTTGGGAGGGAAGGTGAAGCTGCCCAAGGTGAAATCACCGACGCTGGAGGCGCCGGAGCTGAGCGTGAAAGGAGGCGTCGACTCCTCCATCCGCCCGCTGGAGGTGGACGTGAAAGGTTTGGATGTCAACCTGAAAGGACCAAAGGTGAAAGGAGATCTTGACGTTTCCGCCACCGTCCAATCCCCCAAAGCTTCGGCGGACGCGTCTGATGTTGGTTTGGAGATCTTGGGTGGGACGATCAAGCTCCCGTCCCTCAAGCTCCCCCAGTTCGGTATTTCCAGCCCCGGGGTGAATGGGGCCGACGTTGGTCTTGAAGGTCCCCAAGTGAAAGGTTTGGAAGGACCCGATGTGGAACTGAAAGGGCCGAAATTTCAAGCGCAGTCACCAGACGTTGACCTGAAGCTGAAAGGACCAAGCCTCCGGGGCGGCGTAGACATCGCCGGCGAAG